CTCTGTCGCTGTGAATCTGGGGAAGTGGGTAATTAAAGGAAAAAGTTGTAGTTTTGTATGAGATTGGTCATAGCGTTCGCTAGCGACCTCGCTGAGAAAAGGCGGTAGTACAATGCGCAATGTGGATCGTAAGGGCTTTTTTTAAATGCCGACTGAATGGCCTTTCACTGAACCAAATTTTCTTGCTATTAGAAGCAGGTCAAGATTCAGAGTAGCTGTTAAATCCTAGTTCATTATTAGAGAACAAAATTTCCCAAAGCTGAGAATTATTAATGTCACAACCATGACTAGTCATTGGCAATTGCTCTATCATTGACTGAAGTGGAGTCATCTGGCCCAAACCAGATGTCACCCAAACAAAGAATAGGGGCTGTCATCGACAATGGGTCAAATTCACGAAGTACACAAGTAATTATCAAGCACGATTGTGTCATTGACTAACATATCGGCATCGGTTTCTTCCTGTGCCCATGGAAAATGAACGACCTGATTATACTGAGGGCCCCCCGCCCCCTTATTAGATGTAATGCATAAAAATATTGCGCTAATCGCAGGGTTAGCAAGGGCACTCGGCAGGGGAAGTTTGGCTGCGAAAAGATACTTCTGCTTTGCCCAAGGTCACTGCGTCTGTGCACACCTGGTTCACGACTTGGGGGAGATACATCTTTCTAGCCCTCATCCTTCGTAGTCAATAAAACACGAAAGGATGGCTTTCATTGCATTGCCCGCCGGCCAATTTAGCCCTGCAGTGAGCGACATTACGCGATAAGACCTTGCTCCGCCCAAGCACGTCACACACAAGCTTGCTGATGCCATTTCACTAGAGATCGCTGTATCAGTGTCTCCCTGCGCAACCTCACGTACCGCCCACCATGTCGCCAGTTTCTCGTTATCTCATTAATCCTAGGATCACTCTGGGGACCGGTGAGCTGATCATGCAATTGGCCGATCCTCCAGGATGGTCCCTGTCTCACCGTTTTATTAAACATGACATCCTTCGATCGCCTTCAGAGACGTCACGTCTTGTCTCAACTAATTATTTATTTTCGTCGCTGTGTGGTGATTTTGCGCCTTACCATCAGTCGCTTTTCGCATCTGCTCGTCCAACGGGTTTTGAAACATAGGTCCGTTGGCTTCAGCTGTATGCTGTATTGTCTACCTATTTCTTCGATCAATATGTCAATCGCCGAGGCCGACAATGTCATTGCCAGCGAATCTGAGAAAAGAGCCGACAACGCCGCATCCGACAGCGTAGAGGACCTGGTTGTCCTAAATCTCGATGAGACTGATGCTGCCGATTGGACGGTAGAAGAGGAGAATAACGCTCGGCGCAAGTATGTCTCTTGATACCCCGCCTTGAACGGCCACACGCGTCTGTATTGACAGTGTAACCCCAGAATTGATTTTGTTGTGCTCCCCATCCTGATCCTCGCGTTCTTCTCTTTACAGCTTGACCGTGGGAATATGTAAGTGAACTCTTAAGATTTTCTTCGCCCCAATGTCATGATCACATGTTCTGTAGACAAGAACAAGAACAATAACTGACATGATCTGTCGTAGCGGCAATGCTCTGACGGCAGGCATAACCACTGATCTCGGCGTGACTACAAATCAGATCAACTATGGGAACAGTATCCTATTTGCTGGAATTGTGGCATTCGAAATTCCGTCCAACATTGTTCTGCAACGTGTTGGGCCCGTCAGATGGCTCTCCGTCCAGATGTTTGCGTGGGGCCTGGTTGCCACACTGCAAAGTCTGATCACAAACTTCAGTGGTTATCTAGCCACACGCGTCTTGTTGGGCAGTTTCGAGAGCGGTTTCATCCCCGGGGCCTTGTACGTCTTGTCGACCTGGTATACCCGGAAGGAAACTACCCTGCGGGTTGCTTTATACTTTCTGGGAAATCTCATCGCGGCTGCGGTCACCTCTCTCATCGGCGCAGCTATTCTCACAATCGGTGATCGTGATGGTATATCTGGATGGAGATGGCTATTTCTAAGTAAACTTTCTCTTTGCGTAGTGCCCTTAGTAGTGCAAGAAAGACGCTAACCGCAAACCTCTCTATGCAGTCGAAGGTGTCATTACCATTGGTATCGGAATCTTCTTTCTCTTATTCCTTCCCCCTAAGGTTGGAAATGGCCGGCCCCTAATCAGTCGTGTTACGGGCAATTGGTCGTATTTCACCGAGCGAGAATCCTATATCATGCAGCGGCGTGTCTTACTCGACGATCCTACCAAGGTCAAAGGCGGTGTACGCATTTCCGGTCGTGATGTATGGATGACAGTCTCTAACCCAAGTTACCTGTTCCATGTTCTACTCTCCATCACGGTCACGATTCCCGTCAATGCGATCAATACATATGGTCCGTCTGTTGTCAAGAGCCTAGGATATGGCACAGTGAAAGCGAATGCTTTGGCTAGTGTGGGAAACTTCCTTGCTGTTCCCCTTGTCATTATTCTTGGCTGGGCCGCCGACAAGACCAACAAGAGAGGTCCTTTCCTTCTCATCCAGGCTGTCTGGGCCTTGATTGCTTTCGCTGCCCTACGAGAGAGTTACAAGTGGTCCCGTCAGCGAAGATACGCTGCCGTGGTCTTCTCCTTGGCTTCAAATTCTATCGTCCATATCCTTAATATCAGCTGGTTATCGGTCAACACTCGACGCCCTCAAGAGCGGAGTATAGCGATGGCCATGATGATCATAGCTGCTAATCTCGGGAATTTGGCAGGTACCGAGGTCTTCCGAGCTAATGATGCACCCCTGTATATCCATGCCTTCAGTGCCTGCCTGGCTCTCTCTGCTGCCGTCATTGTCCTCATCATTATCCGCACTCTCTGGTACTATTTGCTCAATAAGAAGTTGGAGAAGGCGGGCACAGGTCTTCTACAGGAGGGTGAAGTGACCGGAACGCACGACAACCATAGTGGCGAGAAGCTAGTCAAGCACATCTTTTATATATGGTAAAGGTTATAACAATCGCATTAAGGGCTGACGGGAACCTATATGGGAGCCTAAGCAGTTGATGGTGTGAACCTATTTATGAGAATGCATATTCCCCCCCGGCCCCCCGGATTATGACCGGGCACTCTCCCCACTATACCCGTGGCTTCTGATTGGTCAGATCTACCGCACCCCCTAAACCAGCCCCCTAAGCCCACTATAGCCTACTGTAGCCTCCTGCACACTCAACGCCATTAACACTATCACTACCACCTTGATTTCTCTACTTTGCAACCTCACCACGACGCAGCAATTTAGGCCTCGCTGATGCATCAATTAGAAACTCATCGAAAATGGCGTTTCTGAAGGAATTCAGGCATTCTAGGCATCATGGCGAAAACTGTTAACGACATCGGCGATGCATAGCAGTGGCTTCTTTTCAGTGACAGGCCGGTTTTTACAGCAGAGCAGGTTGCATACTTGATTAGACAGCACCAGAGGTAGACGAATAATACACCTTCTTGCAAGAACAGATTTATCGCTTTCTACAGTACAAATGGTGTTTTATGAGAGAGTTTAGAGGCCACGGATCTGGCTGACTTGCGATTTTTTGACGTTGGCTTAACAGGCACACGCGATTCAATCTACTATTAGACTGGGCTGTCGGTATCTTTATGAAGTCGGAGAAGCTGAGATACTCCAGAAGGCAAAGGAATTTGCCGCCAGTACAAAAAAAACATGAGGTGTGCTCCAACGATCAGCGTGCCTAAGTCTAGTTTTATCAACCCAGCTCCCCTAGCCTGGGCTAACGCACCTATCAAATTCCCATGACGCGGCTTCCGTTGTATATTTTAAGCATACGTTGCCGGCTCTTGTGTACGTGTGGTTGCATAGAGAGTATGGCGCCCTGAGTGCAATACACACTTCAATTCCTTGTTGTCTAGCACCATCGGCTCAGGCAGGAACGGCTTGTTGGTTTATACTATACAGCTCAGCATTAACATCATGTTCCAGCTATTAAGCATATGCTCTACGGCAATTATTAGTCAATATAAACGTAAAAATGAATAATAAATGGCAAAAATAAATCAAAGAGCAAAAGAGGTAAAAAATTAAAGGCACACAAAAAGAAAGTGCGGTGAATGTGGATTGAACACATGACCTTCAGATTAATGATTGAAGTTAACTTCAGTCTGACGCTCTCCCAACTGAGCTATCCCCGCATTAACAATATTTGGTGCGTTATCTTGTCCTATTTTCTTTCACGGATGAGAATTAGTGCAATTATGACAAGTACCCCACTTCAAGCCTCTTCCATTTCCTGGCTAACTAAATCTAGATTAGGTACAGATTAGAGATACCTTTCTTTGATGCTGTTGGATTTGGCAATTGGGTGAGTACACCACATATATATAGCGTTCTCAATTGGGCGAGCACACCACGTATGTGTGGCGTACTCACCAAATGTACTTAGCCGCGAGGTACTGCCACATAGTGGCGTTACGCTCTCCACTGTAAGATAGAAAAGATTTGTTCTTGAGGGGGCGAGCCCCCAACGGAGGATGGCATGCTCAATACGAAGAAAATTCAGCAATCCAACAGATGCTGCACAAAGCCCTTTCCTATTTATCCCAGGCATATTGGCACTCCTATCTCATCCCTTGTTATACTACGTATCAAAACTCTGTATTAGCAGGAGCACTGCATCATAGATTCTAGTTTCGAGCGACTCTGCTACCATACACTTCGAGAGTAGCCGAGTTACGCTGATAGTCATAGGTAAAGTAAAGTTCGACAATAGTTGAAGGTGGAAAGGTTAGTGAGTAATTGTAGATACCTAATTTGTTTATATTCCAAGATGCCTTAGTGCCATGAGAATCTCCACGTCTTTTGTCCTCCTTTTCACTTATTCATTCTAAATTCCACATGCCTCCAAGCTGCCATAAGAAAGACGAGATCCTTCTTCCAACCACAATCGAGTGGGGTTGTGAACGGCTAAACCCCGGGGTCGAAAACCACTACAATACATATTACGACAGTGACAATTTCATCCACCAATCAGCGGGGATAGCTCAGTTGGGAGAGCGTCAGACTGAAGTCAACTTCAATCATTAATCTGAAGGTCATGTGTTCAATCCACATTCACCGCAAATTTGATTTTTGGTGAACTCTTGATCAAGTGTATCTGTATATACCTAGGATGAGCGTGATGGTGGCGACCTTAGGAATGCTAGCTCTTTTTTTGCTCTCAGTTTTTGTCTCCTCCCTTCTCCCCCTTTTTTCGCAAATTTTATCTTCCTAGCTGAATCGCATGCAACTGATACTTGGCTACTGATCATGGACCGAGCCGAGTGCGGGAGACATATCAGCATTTCAAAGGCAACAATAACATGTGTTCATCAAGATGCAGCCGCAGTGGCCTAAGATACTTTATTAGCATTGTAATTAAAAATTCCTGTTCCAAGGCCTCTTGCTCTATAGTCTGCGTAAACATCAGTACTGGCAGGATATACCTTCACGCCCCGACATTATATTCATAACGTTGTCTACGTAGCTTGGTCTTGGAGAACTCTCGTGAAATGTCGATGGTCTTCGATGCGTTGTCTCTAAAGGGATACCAACATCTTCTAGCCAAGGAGACAACCATGTACGGGCCAAACGATAGGATAAGCTCTCTGACTCCTAAGCAACTCGGACGACGCATCCCCGCGTTCATAACATTATCTTTTTGCCTACGAACTAGATTGTGCGCGGCTTTTTGGCTTGGGCTATTGCTAGTACAGGGCATGGAAGTCAGTCGGGCTCTCTTGGATGAGTGGTCACAAGATTTGCTCCTTTTTCGTTTACCCCTGTTTCACAATCCAAGAATTGACTGAATACTTGCGACAATCAGTTGAGAAAAATGTCCCTCTTCCGGTATACACGCCCTCGTCACGATAAGAAAGCACTGAAGGTAGTTACCACCTATTATAAAAGGGCTCTTTTTTTGTGTAGGACACGGCGCTGTCTTACTCGCCAGTCGCGTTTCCTGTGCTCATTCAGTTTCATCGTGACGCTAAGAGACTACATCTCGGGCTCCATACCAAAAAATATAGTTAATCACTGCAAATGAGCAAGCCAAAAACACTGGGTTCGGTGATAGGTCGCGGCTATGATATCAATCAGCCAGCTGAGTGGCCGGACCCGAACTTATGTGTTTAAAGTCCCTTTTCATTCCTGAAGCACACAATCTGTGATTGTCCGCGGGTCTCTCCGCCATGGGAGAAATATATTCTAGAAAAACACGGGGTATAGTCAGCGCCTATCTCAGTGCTGTCCAGTGGCCATGAAAGCGCTGTCACAATTCAAGTTTTCAATGTCAAACTATTGTTATGATAGCCTCTAGGATTGGGGTTTTGGTACTCTAAAGACCCCATAAAGATTCATCCATGAGGGTTGACATGCGCAGAGTACACCAGGCAGACGGCGAGCTAGCTGCGGGATGGCAATAAACCTCTTCCTGACTCGTAGCTTGTGTAACTCGTATGGCCATAAAACACGTCAGTAAGAAAACTTGTCTCTCAATATCCGCTGGGGAATCAGCGAGTTGTAAAATACATCACAAGATAGAGTATGAGGCAGAGAACCGTGTATATCTACAGGACAACCAAGCCCAATCTTTCTCTTCATAAGAAGAAGGATATAAGAATGTCATTTACTTCTTAAAGACGCGGCTTGTAGGATATCATTTGGAAAGTGTCTCCCAATTAAGAGATAAAGAACAACAGCCCTAGCGAGGGCACCTTGAGGAGTACACCCTGAAGAAACAGGTATATAAAGTTGAAGATATGAGAGGGATGATAGGAGATTAAGGGTTTATAAAGTCACAATAATAGCAAGACGTAGCACTGGAATTCCAGAGAGTATAGGTTGGTTTAATAGAACTATTTTTGCAATAAACAAATCATCACTGTTGTAAGATGGCCGGGGAAAGGATATATACACTGCCGTGGTAATTAACAAGAGCATGTTGGAATAATGCACCCTACACTGGGTACAAGGTAAGCTGGGTCACAGCAAGATAGTTCGTGACATTACCGTCAGGGCAGTAATTAGTGTCATACACTATCGCCATTGCTAGCCTCAAAACTTGACATTTGCGCTGACCTACACAGCTTCCTTCTCCTTAACATTAGGCGAAGCATTAAAGGTCTCCTCCTTGTCTAGATCACTGGATTGCCTATCTTGCTCTAAGAATACCCGAGCTGGGTCAGCTTTTATAGGTACATGGTCCCGAACCACAAGCCATGTAGGTATCACAGAAAGGCTTAGGCCATCTAATGTCAGAAACAAATGCCGATACCCTGCAGCGAATTTGAGAAACGACTTCGTGGGGAGAGACTTACCCAGCAGAATAGTGTTCACAGCCAAAGGAACACGGCCTCCGTACCAATCCCGGGTATTGAGGCCAAAACTAACCGCTTGCGCGAGACTCTCCTGACCCCTAAGGATCCCAGTGAATCGGGCAAGCTCGGAGATGTTGTCGGTCTTGGTTGAAAGGAGATAGTATAACCAGTTTTGAACTGCCTGTTGAGAAAATGACCTGTTTCAAAGTCAACTTGTCTATCCTGAAGCCACGATGCCTCGGTTTCGGCAAAGAGGTATAGGCATACCATAGCAAGAGGACAAAGTATCCTTCCACAAAAGCCCGGAGTTGACCAATCCAAGGATGGGGGATTGGCTGTGTACTTCTCCTGCACGATCCAACCGTATGTCCAAGACACGATGTAGATCAAAACGACATACCACCAGCAATACACAATGCGCTTCCGGACCGACAGCCCTTTGTAGTCCAGGAACATGCTCGTGATTTGGGAAGACAACAGCGTCCCGAAGTTTGAAGTAAAGCCAATCAGGGCTCGGGCTCGGACGCCAAAGTAATAGGTCTCAAAATTCCCTGAGTATTGGTTGAAATAGGCCGCCCAGAATATGGGTAGCAGGAGCAGGATATCCTTCCTCTTGCATACTTCTATTAGGGCCCGGAATTCGGCGCTGAAGGATGCCTGAGCCTTAACAACTACCCTGCTCCCATCGCCGCGCTGAACTTTTTCAGGGGACGATAACAAGAGTGCCAGGGGTGCGGCTGTAGCTTGCAGAGCAATGAATATTAGGTAAACTTGGTAACCGACTTTACCCTTCTTTCCCTCTTCGTGGTTAAGCGTGAGTACGATAGCGCCGCCCACGATAGGACCAGCGGTTCTAAACCAGAGCCAAATATTCATATAACGCCCTCGTTTTGCCGGCTCAGGATAGCCGAGCGCGACGGCACCCTCGCTAACCCAGAACAGACCAGCGCTAAATCCACAGGTCGTAGCGCCCACAAGCACCAGCCAGACATTGCCGTACCTGTTATTAAGATACAGACCGGCCGAGTAGATTGGATACCCCACGAGCCCCAAGAAGAGTGTCCAATTGAGTCCAAGACGGTTGGCGATGGGAGACCCAAAGATGCAGACGAGACCGAGGATCCCAAAGACGAGCGCGTTCGCGGCGTTGATAAGGAACGGCTTCTCGGCTCCACCGGCGCCAAGCTGGTTCATGGCGTTCCAGAGCCCGGGTGCGAGAAAGCCCACGCCACCTATCACGAAGGCATTGAAAAGCGTTGTGCGATACCACGTCCGCCTTACCCTGTGCTTCGGGGCATCCGCATCCTCAAGTGGCATGACTGCAAACGTCGAGGAAAGATTCTGAGCGGGGGCTTGGCGGTCGGCCATGGTGCTTTAGGATTGCCGGTCTTCGTCTTTGCTCGGCTGGTCGTAGGTGAGAGGTATGAGAAGAAGTTATCATTCAAGAACTGGGATGTTCTTTTGCCCACGAGAATATTTATATTCCTGTGCCTCTCTTCGCGCGGGGTTCTATGCCCTATCACGATTGGCGACATTCCATTTTAAGTCGGGCGTGATGGGAGACCCTTATGGCGACATCGCCCCTCGGACTTAACGTGCGGTAAAGTCAATCAGAATTGTAAACCCTTCGCCTGCTGGAGCATTGGATAGTAAGGTTGACCTCTGGCGGGAATCTCAAAAAAAATTTTATCCAGAAGGGTTTTGTTATTTCTGTCCAGACACAGCCGGTTTATGGGACCATCTCATTCCCCACACATAGCATCTGTTGAGACAACTATTCTGCGTGGCCGTCAAGGTACCTTCATGTAATGACTTTCCTGTCCTAAGTTGCCAAAAGTCATTGGGGATGGGATGCTCGCATCTCAAACGATATGGCACTAATCATTGCCGCAGATGAGGACGAAATAACGGGGAAGTGGACGCGCATCGTGCAATACCTAGTTAAAAGGTGTTCTAGACGGTGGCACACCATCCAAGGAGAGCCATTCCTATCTGCACCGAATGGCCACGCGAATAATGGACTCGGCAGGCTGAGAAACATGCAGATATAGAGTTATCATCTGACCGCAACTCAGCATAAGCCGAGTTATTGAACGACAGCTCATGCAGCGAGCTGAGAACATGAGCTATTGTTAGGGACCAGGGAAATGCGGCATGAATGGAACAAAGACTCAATCCACATGCGATACCTTGCCCCTCGAAGCGAATATCGGCTACTGAAGTCGAAAGTTGGTGCATCAGCTGTCTAAGTGGGTAGAAAAGTGATTTCAACTTGTAGAGCGCCAAAAATTCAACTCACGGTCGGCAAAGAGCATTGTAAAAAAAAAAAGCCCCAATCCAATGGCCATGAAGTAAAGTCTCGGCAGAGCACCCGCCTATTACTTCGACAAGTAGAGCAGGGGATCAATACAGAGGAAACAATTGCATTGTCCTCTTCAGTAATTTTCATTCGTCCACATGCGCCTTCGAAGCGCGCGGCAGGACTCGATGGCCCGATCACAGGCTAATGGATGCCTAACTGAATATACCAAGAAAGAGAAGGTGAAAGATGTGTGTAAACGAGGATTTGGGAAACCCAACAGTAAATCAAAACATGCAGCTCTAGAGGCAGGGGGGATGATGGTGACAAAGTTGCATTTCCAGGGGCTGATACAGGAACAGTCATAGACACCTTGTCGCCTGGGAGATAAGCGTGTGTTGGAGAGAGCTGGATGAATAAGTGTGCTTCCCCAACCTCTCGAATTAGCTTGTGCCTCATATAGATT